AGAGAAAGATTTAGCCTCTTTAAGACAAGTTTGAGGGGCTGGAGGGATGGCTTGGCAGTTAAGAGTGTTTCTTGCTCCTTCAGAGGACAGAGAGTTCACTCCCCAGTGTCCATGCTGAGCAGCTCGCAACCACCCATGCAACTCCAGCTCCAGGGGGTCTGAATCCTCTCCTGTCCTCTACAAGCGCCTGCACACAAGTGCTCAGATACACACGCGTGCACATTGAAAAATACACAAGAAATCTTTTAAAAGAGGACGGTCCAGTCTTTATCTCCTACTAGACAGCCTCTGAGCTGGCCCATGTGTAATTCTCACTCCCGAAGCCACTCAGTCACTCCAATAAATAGAATCCAGTAAAGGGGATAGTAGGTTACCAAAGGATTGTGGCCTCTGCGTCGTGTTTGTTTCTCCCCTCTGCCCTGTCTCTCTCTCTCTTGAATTCCACATACTGCGTGAACGGTCATGTTGTAAGCAGCTATCTAGAGAGCTCCTCACTGTGTGAGGGACTGAGACCTTCATCCAGGAAGCTGAAGGGAACAGGGTTTCCCATCTTGACCCTCCTGAAGGGAACAGGGTTTCCCAGCTTGACCCTCCTGCCTTGGCTTCCCAGGTTCTGGGATTACAGGTGCGTGCCACTCCACTTGGCTGGAGCCACCTTTATGGCTACGGTATTCTTCTGCCAGCCTAGAATTGGGCCTGTGCCTTACTCTTGACCCAGATTTCTCCATCTCACTACGCTCTCTCCTAAAGACAGGCATGGGTTTTCCTTAGAACCCCACACAATGGCCTGCAAGAGGCTTGTGCTCTTCAGCTCTCTGGTCAATGGAGGGCTGGCTGCCTCACATCTTGCTAACAAGGCGCCTTGGCTGGGGTGCTGGAGTCTCTCTCACAGTTCTTGTGCTGGAACCACTCTTTCCAAGAGCCTGTCAATCATGTCCGTTCTTTCTCACTGCTTTTCCTTCCTCTCAGCCTCCTGCCCTGGCTCCCACCCGTCTCTTTTCCTTGGCATTAGCACCTTCTTCTGCCCTTTATATGTGAGTCCTATCTCATTCTGATTCCTCCTGTACGTTAGAGGTTCAGTTGGGACTCCTTTTTAAACCACTACATTTTCTTTTGCTTATTTATTCATGTATGTGTGTGTATACACACACACACACACACACACACACACACACACACACACACACATCGCTGTCTTGGCAGTTTTAAGCACCTCTAGATTCTTCTGAACTCACCACCACTGGCATTCATCTTGCAAAACTTAAAGGTCCCCATTAGGTAACCCCACCCCCACCCCCTGCTTCCCATTACCCCCCTGGCCACAATTCTACTTTCTGTTCCTGTGAATTTGACTTACAGGCACTTCACATATGTGGAAAGAAAATCTTTGTGCTTTCGAGACTGGCTGTTTCACTTAGACTGGGAAAGGTTTATCCATGCTGTAGGAGACCCATGATTGCCTTTCCATGAACGGCTCCAAAGCTGTGGTTCCAGGACTTGACTTTCTCTTATGGCTTGCTTCTGTGTCTTTAGTTTTGCACACACACACCCACACTTTTCAAAACACGAGTGTGTTCCAGTTGCCCCAACAATCACAAAACCTAAAGCTATTTGTGTGTCACCTGTGAGGGTCCATTTTCATTGCCAAGGTGACCAGATTGGGAACCACTTAGGAGATGTTTCTGGGTGTGCCCTCTAGGGTGTTCCTGAGAACTTTAACAGACAAGAGAAGACCCAGTCCAATGTGGGCGGCGCCATCCCAGGCACTGGAGTCCTGGACTTAATTAAAAAGGCAAAAAGAGGCTGGGCATGGCTTACACCTTTATCCCAGCACTTGGAAGGCAGAGGCAGGCAGATCTCTGTGACTTCGAGGCCAGCCTGGTCTACAGTAAGAGTTTCAGGACAGCCAGGGCTGCACAGAGAAACCCTGTCTCAACTCCTCCCACCCAAAATGGGGAGGGGTGAGCTGAATACCGGCAACCCCCTTTCCTTGCTCCCAGATCTATCCAGGGGAGCAAGCAGCCTCCTCTCATCGGTCGCTGCTCCTGTTACCGTGTTCTCCCTGCCTTCAGCCCAAATCAGCTCTTCATCTCCCACACTGCCTCTTGTCAGGTATTTGGTTACAACCAGAAAAGTAGCACAGAACTCTCAGAACCTTTGTTTCTATCAGTGGAAATGTGCTTCCAACGCCTTTTTAACCTTGGGCCATTTCTGTTTCTTCTTTTCTCTCTCCACGGCAAATTACAAGTTGCACAGCTTGGAAGCCCTCTCTGGCTTCTTATTCATAATGAGTTCAAAGACCTCATGCCACTCACAGTCCAGCCTTGAAGTGGCTGAGATTACGATCAGTACATGTGTCAGTAACCACAAAATAATGGGCTTTTAAAATGACATTTAAGTTTGCTTTATCTTATGTTAATGAATTCTGGAGATAGCCTGAGATTGGTTTGGGAATTCTCTACAGCTGTTATGGATGCAGACCTCTTCAAGTTCCCAGATTTGTCATCTCAGGATCATGGCTACTCTCATAGTTTAAAAGGCAGCTGGAGAGCTGGCCAGATGGCAGGTAGAGGCACTTGTTTTGCAAGCCTGGTGACCTGAATTTGATCACTGGAGCACATATAAAGGTGGCAGGAGAGAACCAGCTCTACACAGTTGTCCTCCGATCTTCAGGTGCCATGCACGCCCTGACACATGTACCCCACATATACTTCCCTCTCCCTCCCTCTCTTGCCCCACCACTCCCGCCAGTCACAACTAAATAAAATGCTTAATTCCAGGCAGCGGGACAGAAGAAGAGGTAAGAGCCTGGCGTTGGTGGCGCACGCCTTTAATCCCAGCACTCCGAGGCAGAGGCAGGTGGATCTCTGTGAGTTCGAGGCCAGCCTGGTCTACAAGAGCTAGATCCAGGACAGGATTCCAAGCTTCACAGAGAAACCCTGTCTCACAAAACCAAGCAAAAAAACAAAATAAAGAGTTAAGAAAGGGCATTTGCCAACTGTCAGTCAATCTATTTTCTAGTAGACCTGTAACATATGAAGCTCTGTTAGTAAGGAAGAAGGGAGAATAGAAGGTGGGAACCAGCCTTCTCTGCCATGGGCCTCCCCATCTCTGTGTCCTCAGTGAACTCTCATATGACAGGACACAGCCACTCAAAGGGATTCTCTGTCACCTGCTGTCAGTCAACGACACCGACAGTTCTTGAGGGCCGAGGATCTTGTCTGTGGCTTCATTTGTGGTCTGTGGTACTTGATGTGCCTGGCAAGGACAAGGGGTTCTGGCAGGATTTGGTAAACAAGACACCTTTGGAGAAAAAAAGCTGAGATGAAGGAGGGGACTCAGGACAGTGTACCTGTGACTTCCCCCACACTGTGTGTGCGTGCGTGTGTGCGTGTGTGCGTGCATGCGTGCGTTTAAACTCGAGGATAATTTAGTGTCTGAACATAAAACAACAGGGCAGGCAAACTGGAGATCTTGGCAGCTGCCAGGAGGATGAAGCTGGGTTAGAGAAAGAAGTCAGAGTTTTGAATTAGAGGCCAAGAAAGCAGGCTAAGCAATGGAAGTCTGCAAACAGCTGCCGGGAGTGTGTATGAGGGTCTTCAGAGAGAGAGGGAGTGGGAGAGGGAAAGAGAGACAGAGACAGAGAGAAAGGGAGGAAGGGGGAAGGAAGAAGGGAGGGAGAGAATATTAGGAGAATCAGTGCAAGCAGGTTTAGGGTTTTTTGTTATTGTCTGAAAAGAAGGAGGAAACTGTAGAGTTAACCTTGAGAGAGGGAGGGAGTGGGCAGGCTTAGCAGTGAAGGTCTGCAGGCAGCTACCACTGGGGAAAGGATTCTGTAACATGTGTGTACATAGTTCATTAAGGGACAGTCATTTGTCCCTTCAAGAGAAGCTGCTTTTGGAAAAATAGTTTTGTCCTACAGAAAAAAATAACAGCAATTGTCTTAAGACCAACCCCTCCATACAGAGTCATAGTATACCTTATGACATTACAAGTTGAATGGGGTTTGCCTGTCTTTAGTTTTGAATTTTCCTTTGACAGAAGACACATTGGACCAAGTGATGTTGGGACTCACTTTGGCATCACATATCTAACTGGTGGTCAGCAAGTTTTGCTCTGTGAGCCTTCACTTCAGGCCAAGGATCTTCCTAGGAGGGTGAGGGCCATAACAGGCTCTGCCTCCGGGGGGGGGGGTCCTCCATCTGCTTTATGCTTTATAAAGAGGGTGGAGGGAGGCATCAGAGGAAACGGAAATTTAGTGGAAGCTCCAGAGGGAACTTGGGGACATGCCTTCCCCAGGCTGGGCAGCCCCATTAGGTTTGCTTTCCCCAGGCTGGGCAGCCCCATTAGCTTCATACCTTAAGAAGTCAAGAGACCTGTCCTACAGGGTGAACTATTGAAGTACCATAAAGGTCTCACTCAAGTTTGAATTGCCTCAAAACAGGAGTCATGGGACTCCATGGCAGTCAGGTGCGGGCACAGGCTATATCAGGTCTTGTTTCTACTTGTTTATTTTTATGTGTATGAATGTATGTCTGTGTGCCATGTGTATACAGTGACTTCCAAGGTCAGAAGAGAGATGTCACAGAAGGGTGTGAACCACACTATGTTGGTGCTGAGAACTGAATTCGGATCTGCTGGAAGAGCAACTGGGGTTCTTAACCTCTGAGCCATCTCCCCAGCCCTTCCCTTCATGTCTTCTTGTACTTGACAGACAATGGACCTTTTAAGGTCTTTTCCTTCCTCCTCTGGGTTCAGCTTTGCAAGATGATGAGGTGTTGGCAGGTGCTACCAAGTTCAAAGCTACATTCAAAGCCCCCCCTCCCAGGCATATTCCCGCTTAATGGTTTTCCTAGGGTTGGTCCTGGTCTAGTGGCATCCACACCTGTTTGTAACTTGCTAGAAATAGGACCTGATTTAGGTAGATTCCAGCCATCTAAAAAGCTTCCAGGTGATTCTGAGAATCACTGCTCTAGGAGGGGATTAGGTGGCAGTTGAAAAGGGCAGGACACTGGGGGGCTGGAAGGGTTGAGTAAAAGCTGCTGAGCTGGGTCTCAGCATATTGGAGTGCTGGACTGGCAGGTTACAAGGCCTCCCCTCGCTGCACACAGCTTCCTGGGAAGAGAAAGCACACTGGGAAGGAGTCACGGATGTCGAAGGACACTCGGTAAGGATGCTGGAGGGAGCTGCTGACACAGGGGCACACAAGCAGGGACAGGCGGGCCCTGTGAGGCCTATGAGTGGCTAACATGCAGGGAAGGACGGAGTGGACTCTGGTCCTGGCCAGCTTTCTGTTTCTACCCTAACTCAGGTCAGCTGTCCTAGGCCATCAAGCTGTTTGTGAAGCATCGTTTCCTTACTGGTTATGAGTAGAGCACTCCTGGGCTGGTTTGCATGAGTAAGCATGATCTGAGTTCTCCATTGCTCACAGCTGGGCCTCTCCTTGAACGCCTTCTCCGTCTCCTACTGGTAGCTAGCGTGGCTGTGGGAGGCAGCAGCGTTTCCTCTAAGTGGGGTGCAGGTCTCCAAGATGCCTCAGGCTCTTGAAGGGGTTATGTTTCATAGCTCTATCCCACAGTGTGCAGTCATTCTGGTGACAAGAATAAAGTGAAATATACATGATACATAGTCAGGGAGCGTCTGCCACAGGTGTGTCTCAGTAAAGTCATGAGCCATTTTATGAAGCCCTTGGTGAGAAGTCGTGAATTGTCCCAGTGTGGTGGTGAAGCCCTGTAACTTGGTTTGTCCTCCCAGGCAGAGAAAGTTCTATTGCACATGTCTGGTGTGTGCACGCAATAACATCTGCTGCCTGCATCCTTGTGTTGATCATTTGGTCATCACTGAGAAGGCATGGCCGAGACATGTTAGGGTAGAAGGTATCCGTGGCAGCAGAGGTGAAGATGAAGTCAAGAAAGGGGTCACAAGGGTGGCCGTGGAGAGGAGCTGGATTCTTGGGGTGACCAAATTGCTGTGTCCACATCCGTTTGGTGAAAGTGGGTTCTCAGGACTTGGCCGTGGGACACAGAAGAAGACATCCTTGGCATTGGTACGGAGCAAGTGTGGAGGAGTAGGTAGCCACCCAGAAGTCTGTCCCAGCGGGAGCTGGGTGGGGCATGGTGAGGGAGGGACCAGGCAGGCAGCTGCTCTGCACCTAGAGAAAGGAGTCCTTCATGAGGGAGGGCGGTGACCAGGGGTGGCGTGAAAATGCTGGTGGACATATGAGTGCCTGATGCCAGAGACAGATGTGGCTAGGACAACTCCAGGGCACACACCTGGCAGGATAGGCTTAGGAGATGAAGAGCAGCTGGGCCTGCAGGAGACGGGCCCTCCATGCCTGAACACCTTCCCGAGCTGGCCCCTTTGCATTATCAGCAAACATACCAAATTCGCAGCCCTAGAGTTTCCAGGGACGTCATGGGTTTTCCAAGCTCTAATTACCAACCTATCTTCTGTGTCTACATCTTCGCCCTTGCTGCTCCAAGGAAAGCTTCTAGACCTTTGTTGTCTCTCTGGAACACAGTAGATTACAGAAGAGAGCATTTGAAATCGGACCATTTGGGTACAAGATGTGAATTGGTGTATTTTGTAGAAATGTCTCTTGACTTTGCTGGGCCTGTCTTGTCTGTCTGCAGAATGGACTGCATCCTGCATTACGAGAACCATTCCAGTAAGGTGTTGGGGAGATGAGGGTCATGTGCTGACCGTATCTGCAAAGGCCAGGATCTGCCGTCAGTCCTCTTGTTTCTTTCTTTGGCTCCCCTGACTGGCTGCATGTATTGCCCAGGCTGGAGGGTCTCTCTTATTATGAAAACCCAAATGACACGGGGCAAACCCACCTTGGCTTATGTATGTCAGAGTAGCTGTTGGGGTCTTAGGTTTCCTTTCATGTGAAGATCCAGGGACAATTTTTGTTCCTTTCCTGTTAGAGAGAAACTGCGTCAGATATTCTATCCTAGAGATCAAGTTCTGTTCTTGGCTACTGAAGCCAGTCCTTTGATACCCATCGCAATTATAGAAAAGGCTGGGATGTGGCCTTGTCCCAACACTGATCACAGACAGAATATGGTTTCATGTCTGGGACCAAAGTGGCACGTGAGCTCAGGCATGTGGACAGGACATTCATTCTCTGCCACCAGGTTGGATCAGCTGGTGATTATTTTCTCTCTGCCACTGGGCCTCATGCAGTGTAAGCAGGCTTCAAACAGCCTCTATAGCCAAAGCTGGACCCTGAACTTCAGATCCTCTGGGCGTCTGGGAGGTGAGGGCATGCTTACAGGCATGTGCTCCTGGTTTAGGCAGGACTGGGGATCAAACTCAGGACTGTGTGTGAGCTAGACAAGCACTCTAGTAACTGAGTCCCCCACCCGGTAGCTTCTTCCTCTCTGTTGCAGTGCTTTTCTGATAGTCTTGCCTCACCCAGGGCAGGGATTTTGAACGGCCCCACTCTGTCCTTGTGCCTTTTGTTGTCCCTTAGTTTGGCTCTGTTCTCTGCTATAGGCAGAATTTGCCAGAGGAAGGGGAAGCCCCTTGACCCTCACAGTGTAACCCAGCTGCAGGGTGACTTCACAGCTCAGCATGGCAGCTGCATTCTGTCTTCCAGAGCAGCTGGAGGCCTCTCTGTGCAGCCTGGTGCCTGCAGGTGGGTGCTTGGCTTGCCCCAGCTGTGCCTCTGAGCTACCCAGCGCCCAGGATGGAAAATCACTCTCACCACACCTCAGGGCTTTGTGGAAGGGGCTGTGTGCCTGTCACCAAGGCTTATGCAGAAATTAGAGTGTTGAGTCCTCCATGCTTTCTGTACATAGACTAGTAGAATCGTACATGGAGATTTCTGGAGAAACTGAGAAAGGGAAGTAGTAGGAAAGGGTAAAGGAGGTCTTGTAGGGGGTGGAAAACTCTAGGAAAGGAAAACAGGGAAAGGACGACCGGAAGGGGACAGAAGACAGGTAGCCATCGCTCAGCGATTCAGCTCTGCATATGTTATGTTCCTCCTGCACACCAGGTATGAACACAACTATCACTTCAATGCCCTCGCCAGGTGCTTTGCCACTCAGCAAGGTGACACAGTCTTTAGGGGCAGGTGGGTGTCCCTCGGGGTATCCAGTGCCCTAGACAGCTCCTTGAATGTGGCCTGGGAAGCATCTGCCTCAGAAGGACCATCTATGGCCACAACGTTGGCTTCTGTTCCTTTTGAAGATGTCACCAGAAGCTCTTGGAAGACCTGGACAGTGTCACCACTGATTTTGCAGTCTCCTGGCAGGGTGCTTGGCAGGGAAGAGTACAGTAAACTAAAGTCCCAAGGATCTGATGAATGACCAGGCATGGAGATTCAGTTTGGGAAAAAAAAAAACAAAAACCAAAAACATCAGAGACCAAGGAGGGACTTTCCAGCCCAGACAGGGTATAAAATACAAGTTCCTTTGAAGTTTAATGTGTGTGTAATATCCTGAGGATCTTGTTAAAATCCCACGTGGGCTTTACCAGAGAGACTGTTCGAAGGGTGGGTGAGGGGAGCTGGGGAAAAGATGCAGTTGGTAATACTTGCCATGTAAACATGAGGACCTGAGTTCAGATCCCCAGCACACATGTAAAAAGCTGGGTGTGTGCCTGTAAGCCTACTGCTGGAAGGGTGGAAACAGGGAGATCCCTGGAGCTTTCTGGTCAACCAGCCTAGCTGAACTGGTGAGCTCCAGGTTAAACAAGAGACAATGTCTCAAAAAAAAAAAAAAACAACAAAGCATAGAATGACTAAGGAAGTCACCTGAAATTGAACTCTGACCTCTACATGCATGTATGAGCATGCACGCACAAACACAAGCATACGTACGGGTACATACATGCCTACACAGGAAAAGAAGGAAATGGAAGATTGTTGTTTGAGATTCAGACATTAGGGTTCTTGTCTTATCTGCTGTCTGCTGAGCTGTGTGGCCCAGCAACAACGAACTCCATCTGAAGGAACTCTAAGAGCCAGAGAAACTAAGCGCTATGATGTCTGAGGTCTCACAGCTGGAATTCAGATCCAGGTCTTTGGACTCCATAGCAGAGGCTGCCACTTCTGTTGTCAGTCCTCCAAGGGACCTTATCCCTCAGTTTCCCAGTCTCCTCTCTGTGTTAGTGGCCTGGGCTCTGGTGAGAGGACCTGTTCTGTGCAGAGGGGCAGACCCCTTCTACAGTAGGGGCCGAGCTCTTCTTAGCCAGAGAGGGATAGGCAGGTCCAATGGTCAGCTTTGCCTGGTTTGTAACCAAGTTTAGGGGCCAAAGCAGCAGACTGCATGGACCTCTTCATTCAAACGGACTCTTAATTCACTAATATGCATGGGGATGTGGTCAGGGACATCGCTGCCACTCTACAAACCTGAATTTTGTAGTCAGCCTTTGAAAGGCATTTATTTGTGTCTATAAACAGAGCAAAAAGCCCCTTGCTACACCCCCACCCACCGAGTCTGTGATGTGTCAGAAAGATATTAGGCCATAAAGCAATGATAATAAATGCCTGGCTCTGCTATGGTGGTGTAGATGTTCAAAGCACCGTCAATGCCTCCTTTCATCTTCACCCTCCTGGCCTCCTTTTAAGGTTGGCAGGACAGATATTATGTTCATACTACAGATGAGCAACAAAGACTCAACAAGAAGGTTGGCTTGGCCAAGTCCATAGATTTAGACGCAGAAGACAATGGTCTGGTGTTCTTTAGACCATGCTGGACACAGTGTCTTGGCTGCCTGTCCCCAAGCAGCAGAGAATGTCACGGTTCTGACAGATTTATTACCAGCAATTTATCATTTGCTTATTGCCAAAGAGGGGGAAAAGCCAGCCTTTAGAAAAACACCTGAAAATTGCCCAACCAAGGACTCAAGAGCCGACTGAGCTGGCATCGAAGTGAGGCGGGGAGATGGTCCACCCAGGGGATGGGAGGGGCAGGAATGCTTCTGCACGGGGCGGGTACAGGTAAACACATGAGTTGGAGGTTGGCAGACAGAGTTCACACCCAGCAATAGCTGTTGTGTAGGGAGGGAAGGTAGAGGTGTGCTAGCTGCTAGGGCAGGGTCGAATCTAGAAGAGATGGGGAGGAGGCAGGCTACATGCAGAGTCTGGGCCTTAACAACTAAAGCCCAGGATTCTGGAGGAAAAATTGTCAGGGACTCATGTCTGGTAACAGAACGTTGGTA